GATCCTGAGGCCGTATAAGCAACGCTACGACGGCTATGTATCGATACGTCTTGCATTTCTTGTGATGCACTTCTCGGCATCCTTCTTCGTGCGTCGCCAGCCGTCTCGGTTCCACGCTCGTCATGCCGGCATCCATGATCGAAGGAGTATCACAGATAGCAAGAGCAATGGTGGAGTGTGAAGGAGCGGAGCCGCCTCTCGGACGGGCTAGGGAGCCGCTGTATGGTGCGCGTGCGTGCAGCAGTGAGGCAGCACTGCAAATAGATCGATGGTAGATTGGGACAGAGCGAGCCGCTGGCTTTCGGAGGGAGCTTGCCAGGCTGTCAAGAGGCGGTAGAACGCAATGCCTTCGCCAACAGGCCGCGAGCATGCGCTTGTATGGAACGCGGGTCGCGGGGAGGGAGCGAAACAGCTCAGCAAGGTCTCAAGCTGGCATGTGAAGGGCAAAAAGTCAATCGACGTGGCTGCAGAACTTGTGGGAGCGACAGTCCTGATGCAACAGCAACACTGCGTGGGAGTGTGATATGACTTTCCAGAAAGATCCACTCGTGCTCGAGTCATTGAGAATAACCAAGAATGCTGTTCACCATCGGTCACCTTATGTGCTGGATCGGTGTACGTAATGCCTGAATGCGTGAATCGTGAATGTGAATGCAGAAGAGCTTCATGTCAGACTAGCGTTGGTCGACCTCCACTTTTCAAAGCACTCGATCAGCACGCACAAGAAGAGCGGATGCGCAATCTCACAACTCAAACTGTACACTCTGGACTGCACTACCAAACCTGGCCAGAGAGCGGGCCAGACCGTCACATCTTGTCTTGTCAAGTATCGTGTCGAGCCTGAGTCGTGAGCATATGACCTGAACGTAGTTAGACTTGGACGAAGCGCCTAGGCTACGTCAATCCAGGTTGCGGGCTTATTTGTTATTGAAGGTGCATGGCTCATGCGCGCTGTTCGTTGTTCACTACTCAGACTATAAGTCGTCAGTGATAAGTGAAGTCAAAGTTGAGTCTGATGAGTCTTGAGTGTGCACATCTTTAGCGCTTGCCTTGATCAGCGCACGCAGCGGGGTATGTAGCACGTGACGCGGCGTACATGTCAAGATCTGAAAACATCACGCGACTGCCTCACGTCAAGCCCACCATCACTACTTACTACCTCTCTGTTGTTGTGCTCGTCGTTGACTCCTCCGATGTTGCAGGGCAGAGAGCGATTGAAGATGGAGAGTACCGTGGCAGCTGTCCCACCAAGCGGCAAAGCACCGACCGGAGCGGCGGAGGTGTCATCATCACTCCTTCCTCCTCTCACATCGCAAGAGCCAAACGATC